GCAGAAACAGTACCTTCTTCGCCTCATGGAGAATCACTGTCACCACTTCCCGACCAAGGAGAGACTAACGAAGGAGGGTGATTGCTGAATTTTAGAGGGACAGATTGAATTCCCACCTTATTTCATCGTTCAAGTAGGCACGAGGAAGCATTATTACAAGCAAGCAAGTGAAGTGAGCAGACTGACGTCTTACTGGCAGTTGGTGTGACAAATGAGCGACTTGACACAACCAGATGCTTTTGAGAGGCTAATAACTTTTTCCCTATATAAGATAGAGACCTAATTCTTTTGAATCTGATATTCTCATGAAATAAATTATGTTGTTAACCATTTGTTTCACTGAAATTCCATGGGAACCCCCCAGAAAGTCATGGTATATGAGGGGATGCTTGGCCAATTTTCGATGCTTGTTCAACTTGAGAAGCGAATTGCATGAGATTTTCCGTTGTGACACTATGTTTTCTTTACTGAATTTGACAGAGAAATGATGAGAGAATATGATTAAGACTTTACATTAATGTTTTTTCCAACTTTTAGTGGGAGAAATCAGCTGGGAAAAACACCCTTTTTCAGTGATTTTTCAGGTAAATACATAATCCAGTGGTTGGCGAGGGTCGATCAAAATTGACAATTTCTCATCCAAGAATTCACGACAAACACATTGTTTTATTTAAATCAAGTAGTACCTCCTCTTCAATGTACATACAATCGCTGACTCGTTTTGCACTCAACAAAGCGCTAAAAACTGGTTATTGATTCAGTCAATCTGCTTTCAGAAAAAATTGGAGCTATACTGTGCCAAAGAGGAACAAAAATTAATATTTCTTTAGTTTTTCTTGTCAGTGAGAGACACCATTTTGCGTAACCCCTAAAATTGAATGAAATTTCCTGATAATTGGTCTGAATGTTACTTAGGAACAATGTAACAAAATAAAATTTGTGGAGCAAACAATTTCACAACTTTTTTTTTTTGGCCCCGTCTAATGTACAAGCATATACGTGGCCCCCCGATTTTACCACAAATCCTTTTTCAGAGAGCCAGCATTAGATAAAAATTATCAAAGTTGGAATTAATTTTCCCCATAAGAAATAAGGGGGAAACCCGTCAATCCATTCCAGACACACAAAAGTATAAAAAAAAAATTTTTTTCCCCACAAAAATAACATTTTCCTACACACAAAAAAAAAGGGTACATAAAAATTATTACAAATGAAAATTAAATCATTTACCTTTATTAAAGTGTAGTGATGAGCGATAGACACTGTTTTTCTTGAACACGTTTGGGATTTTCAGAGTGAAACATGGAAAAGGGCTTCACTTTGCAATCCCCACAAACATTACAACAAGACATGAATTAGCCTGTCTTTCACAGGCTTGTGTCCGGGGGAGTGCCTTTTCCTCCCGAGTAAGTAGGTCCCGTTTGGCATTTTTTTCCCAAAAAGGCCGTTTTTTTCACAAAAAATACTTTTGGGGGAGGAATTTTTCAGCTACACCATGCCTTTTCCACTGTGTAGCCATAGAATTTTTAAATCCTCAAACCAACCTTTTCTGGCTTAAAATTCACCAAAATGGCACTAGTTCCAGGCATTTTTTTTGTTACCTGGGGGTTGTCAAATGTGTTGGTTGCTTTTGGGGACAAGATTAAAACCCCTTTTAGGTCCAAGCCCAAATCGGGGTCACCACCAGTGTCCAAAAATTTTAAAAAAAAAAAAATTTTTTATTTTTTTTTTAAAAAATAGAGAACTTTTTTTGGAAAGGGGAATAAAACAAAAGACCAAATTTGGGAAAAAAATTGACGAAATTATGCTCTCGCGAATTTTGAGTTCACAATGTTTACGAACGGCGATTTTTCCGGCTTGACTCCCATTTTAGGAATTACTTATTAATCAACCAAATTCTTTTTTTCACTAGTATTACTTCTTTCTATTGATTGAGCACAAGAAAAACGCCAAAACTGTTTCAACACAAAAAAATGATCGGAAATTGTTAATTTTTCCATTTAACACAAAATTCAAAAAATTCCAATTTTTAAAAAAGGTTCAGAAAAAACAATTAGGCATCCTGGCACTAAACTAACATTTCTCTGTTCATTAGTTAGTTTTGAGGTTTACAAAAAAATTCCCTTTTGATTTTTTTTTCAGAAAAATGATTTTTATTCCCCAAAAAATAGAAGATTTTTCTGTTTATCATACGTAATAATTGTATAAAAACATCACCATATTTTGAATTTATATTAGACCACCCCTGACGTGTATTAGACGTTTTGAGGGCGTTGTTTTTCTTTAATTCGGAAAAAAATTTAAAATTTTTCCGCTACTTGAGCTCGTTTCAAGCCTTTTTCCAGTGCAAAACCAATGAAAAAACATCTCTATTTTTTATATGTCTCCATTCTATCAAATGAGACCAAAAAATCGCAAATACAAAATATAAAAAAACAATGAAAAAACACTGCCAAAATTGCTTTTTTTAATCGAAAAAAACAGATTTCAGTTTTTTTTTTCATTATACACGGGGCTGCAGGTTGTTTTATTGGGCACACATCCCCAAGATGTTTTCTCTTATCTAGGCCCAAATGTACCCTCACAGTTTATCAGGAAGCAGCCATGGCGTAGATCTACGGGTTTTGGACACTCACCGTAAAAACCTAGATCTACGGGGGACCCGAAAGGGTTTAAGGGCCCCAAAAGGAAAAAAGTTAGACAGTCCCCCGAGACCATTGACTTTCTTGGGTTATCCTGGGTGGGGGTAACCCCCTGGGGTTAATTGTTTCTTGGGCAACCACACCCAAAACAGTCTCTCCCCCACCTTCAGTAGTACGCTGTGGTGGTGCGCAGCAGCTGACCTGGACATAGTATTTTAAAAGATTTCCCCCACTTTTTACCACAGGGTTTTCATAGAACTTTCTTTTGGGCCCTGGGACTTTTTAGCAGTTACAAGCACTAAAAAAAAAAATGGAAAAACAAAATTTTTCGAATGTATGCATGCAAAACCCCCACCCTGGTTGTAAAAAATGGCATTACTGAGTGAGGGAAACCCGGCCGATGGACTGTGTTTTGGGTAATGATGTAAATCGAGTTTTTTTTTCGGTCGGGAAAATTTTTTACATGAAATGCTTCGAAGTCAAATTTTTTCGTAAGAGAGGCCGCGTAAATCGGGGGTTCACTGTATATATACATCCCCCCGGGGTTTTTTTTCATTTTTCTTTCTGCACTTTTCTTTCTTATTTCCCTTATCCCAGGGGCAGGGAACAGAGTTTTTTCCTCCCAAAGCCCTCATGTTGGAGGCGACTAAAAAGCAGGAGCAAGGGGCGTAATCCCTTCCCTGTATTATACTAAAGTTATAAAGAGAAGTTTCGTTGGCATTTTGGACCACCCTGCCTTGGGGGATATGGCCGGTTTGTTGAAGAGGAAGAAGAAGAATTTATTGAAATTTTAGTAAGACATTCACTACATCTTATGGAGGGTATTTGATGCGGACAAATACAAATATAAATTTTAAACCAAAAATACAGAAACTAAAGGGACCATAAATAAAATAAAATCTAAATCAAAACTTGATTTTATTTTAAAAAACAAAAACAATAAGTTTTGTTTGGATCTAACTTATTTGGTCCTGCATTTATTGTATGACAGGCTCTAATACTCAAATTTGGGTAACAATCAAAATATAATGTACTATCATATCTATACAAAAATTTACTCACTAAATTCACAATAAAACCCAAAAAAAGAATTATAATTGTAAAGATAACAAAGGGGTGTTACTAAATTTCTTAAAAAATAATACAAATTTAGAATATATACAACTTTTAAAAAATTTAGAGTTGCGGAAGCTGGAAGATCAAGACAAAACTAGATAAAAATATCAGGGTTTTGGATTTGTTTGACAAGCATATTGCTGTAAAGATCACATTAAAAGGGGAAATGTGCTTGTTAAAAAAGGTTTTTAGTGGCTGGCTGATAAGGAACCTTCAGAAAGTTCAGGGAGAGTTCCAAACTTGAACCTTTTTTGTGCAGTAAGTTTTACACAGGGTTTAGATGGACAAGGGGTCCCGACTTTTGGCCCTTTTGTTTGCTTTTGAGTTCGGTTGCAGATATCAAAGGGAAAAGCTTCACTGCAAAGTCTTTATTAGAATGACCCCGTCCTGGCATAGCAGGCCTAAAAATTAGTGAATATTATTACTCATCTTCTTTTAAAAAAGGCCGCATCCCACCCCAAAGGCAGGGTGACCCAAAAGGAAAAACACAAGTTCCTCCTTATAAATTTAGTAATATATACAGGAGAAGGGGTTACTAACTCTTTGCTCCCAGCATTTTAGTCGCCTCTTATGACATGCATGGGTTACGGAGGAAGAATTCTGTTGCACTTCCCCATGGAGGTTAGAGGAAATAAGCAAGAACAAGAACTAGTAAGACAGAAGAAAACCCAGAGGGGTGTGTATCTTTGTGCTTTAACATGTATGTGTAGTGTGACCCAAGTGTAAGGAGAAGTAGCAAGACATACCTGAAATCTTGCATGTTTATGAGACAGAAAAAAGACACCAGCAATCCTACCATCATAAAAAACAATTACAGGCTTCCATTTTATCCTCACTTGGAAGGATGGTAGTACCTTCCTGGGAGGTTGCTGTCTACCAACTTTTAAGGAGCAAGAGTGTGTTGTCTGCCACTAGACTGGCTGATCATTTGAACAGCCAGTCTAGTGGTTGTTCAAATGATCAGCCAGTTTAGGTTTTTAAGTGATTTGCTGTAGCAACTCCCCAACCACAAGTACAATAGGTGAGGTAAGGACAGACTGGAGAGTAGTACAAAGTCAGCAGTGCTGTTTGAGGTACATAATAACATTTCTTTGAGAGGATGCCAACTGGTTGAAGACCTTCTTTGTTATATGCTGGATATGAGTATTGAATTTAAAGTTGAATATTCTAGGAAGGGTACAGAGGAAGGGGGGTATAAAAATTCATTAAAATCACCACAAGCAAACACTGATGAATACTGACCATAAAGGTCTTTGAGCTCAGGCCTGAGGATGATGACAGCGATCTGGATGCCAGGGAACAGCATCTGAAGTTGAAAGAGTTCCACAACAGGTAATGGATCCTTCCTCATTATCTGTATGCACGGTTCATCTATCTTCATTCCAAGCTTTCTCCCCATCTCAATCATGCCATTCACGAATGGTCTGGTAAGAATAAAGGCACAGAGTTAGAGTATTCTTTACACAATAAAGTCATGGGGTCAGAGCATTCTGGAAAAGATGAAGGAACGGTGTCAAGATGCGGTGGACAAGATGATGATGATGATGATAATAATATATTTCTACATGTACAAGGTACACAAGCCTAGCTGACATCAATGACATACTACTATAGAGAAAGCCCCTTGTTATACCTGGAGTATCATTGGAAAGGGTTTCGAGGATCAATGCCCCCATGGCTTGGTCCATGACCAGGCCTCATGGTGGATCAGGGCCTGATCAATGAAGCCGTTACTAATGGCCACATGTAAACTGATGTACAAACCACAGCCCAGCTGATCAGGTATTGACTTCAGGTGCCTCTCCAGCACCTTCTTGAAAATAGCAAGGGGTCTATTGTATGCTGGGAGGCAGTTGAACAGTCTTGGCCCCTGACACTTGTTGTGTTGTCTGTTAGTGTATTTGTGGCACCCCCGCTTTTCACTGAGGGAATGTTGCATCTCCTGCCGTGTCTTTTGCTTTCGTAGGGAGTGATTTTTCATGTGCAAATTTGGTACTAATCCCTCTAGGATTTTCCAAGTGTATATTATCATGAATCTTTCTTGCTTGTGTTCCAGGGAATACAAATCAAGGGACACAGGTGAGAAAGATACACGATAATATACACTTGGAAAATCCTAGAGGATTAGTACCAAATCTGCACATGAAAATCACTCCCTATGAAAGCAAACGACTCGGCAGGAGATGCAACATCCCCTCAATTCAATTCAATTTAAGTGAGATGCTACATGAACATAGAAAGGTGGAAATTGAAGAGAAGACAAGAGCGAATGTAGGCGAAGAGAGAAGGGACGGAGTAAACAGGGGCGGCGAACAAATAAAGAATGTCTACTAATATCAGTGACCATTCTATAAATGGAAGGATTGCGGAGATCATGAGAGCGTACATAGTAGCAAAGGCAATGGGCATCACGGCGATCGGATAAGGATGGAACGTTCACTTCTGCATAGAGGCTCTCAACAGGGGAAGAGCGAAAAGCACCAAGGCATAAACGTAACCCTTGGTGATGAATGGGGTTAAGGCTAGAGAGAGTAGCAGGAGAGGCCGCTGAATAGATTTGGTCACCATAATCAAGTTTCGATAAAATGAGGGTGGAATGTAGGTGAAGGAGAGTTCGACGATCAGCTCCCCATGAAAGATGAGCAAGGGTTTTAAGAAGGTTCAGCCGGCTGTGACAAGTTGCCTTCAGAGAGGTAATGTGAGGTTTCCAGGATAACCTACAGTCAAAGAGGAGGCCCAGAAACCTGATTATCACGTTCAGGGATACGGGAGCCATAGAAGTACAAAGGAAGATCAGAGATGACAGAGCGTCTAGTGAAAGTAAATTTGGTGAGTTTGGTTACTGGAAAATTTAAACCAGGTGTGGGGCCCAATTGGAATAACAACGGTCGACCCGCAACTTGATGGGAGAGAACTGTATTGAGGTTGACAGTCAGCGCTACTTGCACACGCAATAGCGAAGTCACAACATAGAGTGATGACCAAAATTTTTGATGGAGACAAGAGGGGGGGGCCAAATCATTTTTAGCAAGGAGAGAAAAAGTGTTTGCTCAGAACACATCCCTGGGGGACACCTTCAGCTTGGATAAAGATCCGGGGAGGAGAGGGAGAGACATTATCAACCCGACACACGGAAATGTCCTGTCAGTTGAAAAGTTCTTAAAGGAAGGATGGTAGATGGCTCGGAGGCTAAGGAGTGGGCCTTACGGACAAAATATTAATACCTCCAGTTTGTGTCATATGCTTCTCAAGGTCAAAAAATATTGCAATAACTGAGTGGTTATTCGCAAAGGCATTATGAACAGATGTATCCAAGCATTAGTAAGGGGGGGTCTATGGTAGAATGTCCCTTACCGAAAAAGCCATATTGTCGAGTTGAGAAGAGGATGTTGTGTGTCTCTAAAATACCACACTAAAAGTATATTTAAACCAGGCCGTTCCTCATTTTGCAAACTGCACTGGTAAGAGCAATGGGACGTAGTGGTAAGGCGTCATGTCCTGTAGTGCACCGGTTTGCAGAAAGGAGAAACAATGGCAGATTTCCACAGCTGTGGAAGAACTCCTAGTGTCCAAATTCAGATTGAAAAGGTTGTAATAGGACTGCAAGGGCATGATGTATGTAAATGTTGCAGCATACGATTATGTATGTTGGTCGGGTCCAGCTGCCGGATGATCGGCAAAGCTGAGAGTGTTGCCTCCAGTTCTGGAAGTTTGTAAAAGGCACATTATACTGTTCTTCTTGGGGAAAAGTCCTAGGGTGCTAACTCTCTGGCAGATTTTGACGGGAAAGAAACGAGGGGCATTGATGGAGTCCCTCGAGAAAATATGGACAGGGGATGTTTGCCAATTTCATTGGCAACATCTAGTGGGTTTGCTATTTCAACACCCAGCAACCCGCAGCAGAACAGGAGTCGTGGTCAGAAGAATTTTTTACCACTCAGTTTTCGTACTTTTTACAGACTGCGCTCATAGAGGAAGCAGAGGTGTGGAGGAGACATCCAATCTCGCCAGCAAGGCATTTAGCATCACGGATGACACAGCGAGTGATCGCATCGCTCTTGTCTTAAAATCAAGAAGTCTCTCCGTTGGGTTCTATTGTTGCTGTGTACATGCCCACGCAGTGCGTTTCAAACGTACTGCATGAGCACAAGCAGGAGAACACGTGGCATGATTTCTGAGATGCCTGCCCGAGTTGGGGGGTTTAGAAATGAGAAGCTGCGGTTTATAACGGGGACGGAGTAGAGGTGTACTGTAATAGCTCATCAATGGGAAAAGGACGAAGAAGGAAACCTCACTAAAAACAGTTAGTTCTGAGTAAAGGTTTCCAATTTGCTGATCAAATTTGGCCAGCGTGGGTACGAAGAGGTGAGTGAATATGGAGGGGAAGTAAGAATGATTGGGAAAAATGATCACTGTCATGTAAATCCGGGGGTGAAAAGACCAGGTGCAAGTCTAAATGCAGCGGAGGGAAGAGCAGGACTGAGAGAATCGATGAAGAGAGTGTGAGTTCCGAGGATCAAAATGGGTCCCGTGAGTAGTCCTGTATTTATACCCTTTCAGGGTCCGCCCGTAGATTACGGCTTCACGTTGTTAGTCCAACCATAGATTCTACACCAAAATTCTAGCGCCGTCAAATTTAGCGTTCGAAAGAGCGCTCATAGGACTAAATGTGGAGATGGGTCTGCATGGTGGGTGTGCACCCGTAAACAAAAAAACTAGGCCCGCCGCATAGCATTGTGGGAATGCCAGCTCAGTCACCCTTGGTTCCACCATGCCTCGTTGGCAAGTCAGCTCTCTACTCCCCAGAAAATTGGGACTCTCCTCTTCCATATCTGATAGTTCTGACACTGATGGAAGGGGAAATGAGACAAATATCGGCTTTGTTCAGTTAGTGAACTGAAAAGATGACCAGGGATATCGATAATAGTGCAGAAAAAACCATGACGACCCTCTACCTTCTACCTTGGTCGTGGGCACTCGTGGACTCACGGTCGGTTTGTGTTCCTAAGCAAGAGAAAGCTATATTGTTTCACGTGGCCGGCCTCTGGACTCTCAGTAAGATGGATGTAGTGATGGGATTGTGATTTTATTGCGCTCACGATCATCGGAGAGTAGTGATAGTGAGAATCATATTCACCAGTGAAGCGGCGGTATGTTCGCCGCCGCATGCACTCGAGTAGTGGACCCTATGTCTGTGCCCAGGGGACGGTAGAGTACATCCCGGGTACATCCCGGTGTACATCCCGTGGCCTACACCAGTTTTAGGTAGATGATAGTTGAGGATGATGTGGCTACTTTGGCATGAGAGACCACAGGCATCAGTGGATGGTGTAGTGGTGATGGAGTGGCACTGCATGTGTCAGACTCACCAGCCCTCGCTGGGTCCACGCTGCTGAATCGTCAGTCAAGGACAAGCGGAGCGTCTGCCACCAGCCCACCATCAACCACACCACCGCAAAATCCAGCCTATGATGTCCAGTATCCACAGCAATCCGTTATGTGGTGGCCGCAAAATCCCAATTTTTGTTCCCAAGCCTCACCACTTTGATGGGACTCTCAAAGTGGAATTCTACTACTTGTTCCCCTTGAACCACAGCCAATGGAACGGAATTCTTTGATTTATTCTTTTGCCCAGCATTTGATGGAAAACCTATTGTCAGGGAATGTAATAAGTATTTTGAGTAAACATGGCAAATACGATCATATCACCACGTCAGACCTACAGCAGGTGGAAAGAGACGACTCTGTTGACAGTAATGTATTTGCCTATTTGCACAATAATGCTTATTATGCCTCATGTCTATAAGCCATGAATATATAAAAGCTTATGGCCACAGATCGGCTAATTTCTTACCCCGGGGGTCTTCAGTGAAATCATACCAGTGACAGGTTTATCTTCATGTGATGTATGTTGCACTTCTATGACAAACCAGGCCTGACAGAGTGAAAGGTTGGTTATACAAGATTAGAAATGTTTTCATGTATCTCAAAACAAAAGTTCAGCATATACTTTTATCCATTCACAGAATCTTGTAATTGACGAGTCTTTGATTTTGTTTCAAAGGTAGAATGTCATTCAAGCAGTAGTATATACCGTGCAAGAGGAAACGCTATGGTTTATTATTAAAACTGTTGTGTCTGTGACTGTGACAGTGGCCCTGGTGTTGGATATGGTTGTATACACGGGAAGTAAAAACATTGAAAAGATAACAAGATTGTTATTTTGGGTAATCTAAAGGTGCGTAGAAGTGAGAACATGATGGCACCTTTCTTGGTAAGGGGCCATACGATTATATACCGATAAAATGGTTAACACGAGCCCAATTACTCAGTGATTTCATGCGATAAATGTGGAACAAGACAGATGTGTGTGGCACAGTGCGTTTTAATCGTAAACATTGCCCTGGCTCAACGAGGTGCTCAT